AAACATTGAGGAGGGGGGGGGGGCAGAATCACCACTTCCTTGCTAGGCCTTTGCCCTTCCGTTCGTCGGTGCAGCGCTAGGCGTCCGCGGCTCATGGAGGGTCTTGGTCGTCGGACGACGAGGTGCAGTTGTTTCCGCCGTCGGAGTCGGAGTTGGAGAGGACGATGTGCCCCTTCATCTGACGGACGCCCTGTCCTGCTCCTGCTTCAGCCTTTCCACCTGAGCCTTTTGTGCCGCTGCCTCCTCCTCGCACTTCGACTGCTGAATAGCAAGCCGGAGTGCCTTGGCGTTCTTCCCTCGGAGGCGGCGAGCGTCCGTCTCCGCCATCGTGAGGGAGCGGCGGTACACCTATGCCAAGAGACGCACGTCCTCGTCGGCGTTCGGCTCCGTCCCGCGGCGGTGGCGCGTGGACTGTTCCATCACGCCCCTCTCCTGTGCAAGCTGCCTCTCACGGCGCGCACGCCTCCGACTCTGGAGTGCGCTTGCTGGCTGGAGGCGCGGGCACAAGCACCCAGCGTTGGCCGCATGGAGGAGCGGCCGGCGGGGAAAGGAGACGGCACGGGGCCGGCACAGACTCTGCTGTCCTTGCGTCGCTGCGGGCGGGCCGGGAGTGTCCAGCTCCGGCATCCGCGCTGCGCGGGCGTGGGAGCTGCGGCGATGCTCCAGATCCAGAGCTGCCGCCGGTCTCCATCTTGGATCGCTCCAACGCAATGCGGAGGGCCATCTCCTCCTCGTAGTCGAGCTCCAAGCCAGAGTCGCTGCCAGAGCTGCTCATTGTGGTGGATGGAGATCGGAAAGGGAGAGGAGTGGACGGAGCGAGAGAGAGAGAGATGGACATAGTGAGCTAGGGTTTGAGCTCACAGCCCAGATTGGGTTTTTTTTGTGGGGTCGGTGGTGGGCTGGGCCTGTCAGACATACGCGCCCGGGCCCTATATTTGGGTTGGATATGGGGGGTGCCGGTCAGCCCTGACGTTTGTGCGTGGTTCGAGAGATCCGGTTCGGTTGATTTTTTTTACTGCCTACCCGGGCGTTTGAGATGGGTATGAAAGGCCCAGCTGTAGATGCGATAAGAGCATCTACAGCCGGACCGCAAATCCGACCCCTCAAACGCCAGTTGATGCGTCCGGGCGCGTCCATGGGCACTGACCGGGCACCCCTCAAATAATGTCATCCACATCCAGACACCTCAATTACCATATCTCAAATCCATATAAAGTCATGCAATTACGTCGTCATCCGGCTACTCCATCACTACTAACTAAACATCCCATCGGACTACCAAAATTTGGCATGTTTAGCTATGGAGTTCATCCACGGCTGCACTTGCCCTTCCCGCCGCCCTTGTCGTCGTTCTCGCAAAAGTACCGGTCGAAGAATCAGTACAGATCGAGGCAGATCTGCTCGTCGCCGAAGCTGTCCTCGCCGTTGCTGTCTTCCTTCTCCTCTTTCGGTGGCAGTCCGGCCATGGCACAGACCGCCCGATTATGCTCTCGGATGAGGGCGCGCGTATTTCTCCGCTGTCG